ATATACACACACATATATCTATATATGTGTGTGTATATACACACACATATATCTATATATGTGTGTGTATATATGTATATACACACACATATACACACACATATATCTATATATGTGTGTGTATATATGTATATACACACACATACACACACATATATCTATATATGTGTGTGTATATATGTATATACACACACATATATACACATATATGTATATATATGTGTATATAGTATATCTATCTATATATATACACACATATATATACATATAGGTGTATAATTATACACATATATACATATATGTGTGTATAGTATATACATATATACACATATACACATATATATGTATACATGTGTATATAGTATATCTATATATATACATATATACATATACACATATATGTATATAAACATATACGTATATAAATATATATGTATATGAATAAATATATAGCACAAACGTCAGTGTGAGACAGTGAAGCAAAAACACTGCCAGTGTTTTCAGTTTCCTCTCCAGCTCCGACGCTCTGTGTACAGTGTGTACAAAAACTGTAGTTGTGATGAACCTGTGTTCATCACCCCCCCAGCCCCCCCCTTCCCTGCCCTCTGTACTTTATCCAATCACAGAGCTCTGTAACTGCACGCCCCTCCAAAACTATGACATCACACTGCTGACCATTTGCATTATGGGTGATGTAATAATGTAGTAGCAGTATTTCCTTTAAAAAAAAAAGCCTGCTGATCGAGGTAAGTATAATTCTACTTCTTCATTCCAACACATTGGTCCATCCGGGTTGAAAGTAAGTCTCCCCGTCCTTGTACAGCGTTGTAATATTTGATAATCAGTGGATGACCACTTCCTGGTGTTGACCAGACAATCCTGCCAGTGTGATTTGACTCCATGTTGCTACCTATGGTCCAGTATTTGTCAGTGTTACATTTTTGTACCATGGACACGGACCAGGTGAAGACCATTGGGACTGGTCACTGGTTTTTCATAATGTTTTTAATCTCCATATCTCACTCTTATTTTTTTCTTCATCTTGTAAAAATCCACATTCAAGGTAAAATATTAGCTAGCTGTTTTGTAGAAGAACAAACCCCCCTCAGTCCCCCCCCTCACCCCCCCCTCA